ATGTGACCATGTATGGGAAAAAAGGTGACGTAACAAAATAGTAGGTGATTGTTTTTTGTTAAACTCAAATCTTGTCGTCTTCCGACTGAATTTGGGTATATTGTTAATAGTTGAGAAGTTATCCTTCAGCAGCATGAAGCAGGAGAATTGGGTAATATTGTGTTCGAAGAAAGGGATTTTACACATACCCCCCAAGAAAGTTTGTTAGAGGTATACTTACTGCTGACTTTAAGATAGCATTGGCGCCAGCCGTGATCATCGGGGTAGTTGAARAATCGCAGATAATATGAAAAAGACACGACTGATCAGGTTTGAAATGCGCAAGTATCACGAACCTTTGCATTTAAAGTTCGGAAATCTTGAATTGTGTGGTGGGAATAAGGAATCACGAATCACGATGAAAATTTGACAGTCTAAAAATCAAAAACAGTTGAATTATTTAGGAACTTTATGATGATAACGCATACAAATAATTCAGGAACGACGCCGATGTTCATAAAAACTTGAGAAAAAGTACCGCAAAAAAGTCAATAATGAAGCTGATATAAACAGTGTTAAGAACCAACTTTGAACAACTTTTTTAATTTGTGTTGACATATCAAATGTGTTTCTATTCCTAGGCCTCAGAATTTGTGAGTATATCAATTCTGATCAACAATCTTGAACTGGATCAGTAAGAGTGACCTTTGGCTTCAAGAACTTTCCGATGACTGAAGCAAAGTCGGAAAACAGCGGATATAGAAATCATGGTGATCATTCACTGAAGCACGTAATGGACTCTAAAGTCAAAAGTTCGCCAAAGTATTAACGGTAAATCATTTTGAAGATTTTTGATTTACTTTCAAAAAGATTTCAGCGCGCTAACTTTTTTAACGACATTTTTTTTAAGTAATCAACAGCTGCAGGGAAGATCAACTACGACTGATGTGATGGAAGGAGTGATTTTTGAAAGTTTTGTTACTATATTTAGAACACAACAACGGCAAAATGCGGATCGACCGCAGAAGGATGGTTATAGAGGAAAAGAGACTAGACATGATAGGGATGGATTGGGTAGAGGTGGGCAGTACTCCTTATAGAACTACTATAGAGTGTATTTCATATTTTCATAGCGCAGAATTTTCAATATTTTTCTTTGTCTCACATTTTTATCTATAGGTACTGAACGCTATCTCTTCATGGTATAACTGAACCTTATTTATCGAGATTAGTAAGGTAAGCGATGAAATTACATATATACAATGTCATAAACGTTAATCATGAAAAAACATATTGGTGATAATGTAATATTGATCAGTATAAAGGTTTGCTAATAGTGCCAGTTTCGTCTCCAGTCCACTCACGGGCATTCGAGAATTTTGTGACGTAATGAGTTTTGTCTCGAGAACTGCGAAATCTGGCTTTTTTCAAGAAAATTGAAATTGCGAGTCACCTTTTTTCTTCTGAATTGAAGACTGGTCGACATTGAAGATTATGCAGCAGCATCCAGTAAGATTTTTCGGCTGTTTTCATCGCTTTTGATGTGAATTGTGTCGTTATATAGGTCCGGTCCGACTGCAGATCTACTTGAGACATCATACAAAGAAAGAAAAGAAAGAAAAGTTCTCGTCCGTTTGAGACGATAGTAGTTCTTCCAACAGGTCACTTTCCTTTTCCTTTTGCAGGGTTTTCCTTTTCTAAGCCCTTCGTTCGATCAGTGCACTTCTTTAGGTATACTGTCGGGAATAGTGATAAACAAGTTTTCGCTTCTTTTGGGGACGTTTACACAAGATGAAATACGTGGGCTTTCACATCAACTTTGTCTTCGATGCAACTTGTTGTTCCAAAGAAATTATCATTTTCTGGTCAGACATCACAGCAGTTTGTACAACGTATAACATTCGTTCATATTTTGCTAAAAAATTCACCAGCATGTCGTTCGCTGCCTGTTCTAATTCTTTTTTTAAATTTTCGTAACGTTCAATGAAACTATGACTGCAAGGTTTCGCTTAAACGTTGAAACGATCGAAGTCCACTGACTAATAGAGGGGGAGGGAATCTGAATTTGACTTGCTGATATTCTTCGATTTGATATTATTTCTACAGTTCTTGTAAACTGAAGAGTATTTACAGTTTATCCATAACGTTTTGTAAGCAAAGAAGTTTTTCTAATGCGCTCATTTATCGACAGACCTTATCAGACAAATGCCATGAAGTAGTTCAGGAAACATCACCACCGGTAGGCTTATCTTGACACCATTGCTTACAATCTTTCACTTGCACACTGAATGACACAGTAGTACATTTTATTCCATAATTTGTTGTCCACTGCAGGTTTTGCACACAGATGGCGCCAACATATCCATACAAGAGACTCGCCCTCCAGTAAGTATATAGTAGTTCACAAATGAAGACGTGTTGTTGTCCATTTTTTGTCATTCAAATAACACATTGTATTCCACCGTTTTTCATGTTCCTATCTTGTTAACATTTTCTATAATTCCTTTTTCCTTAGGGTGTGCTTG